TTCTTCACATATCCAGAGTGTAACAATTTCATACATAACACATGTATATATAGGAGAGAGATAGAAGAGAGACAGAAGAGAGAGATATTAGAACAATTGGAAGAGAACAGAAAGAGGAGGAAGGAGAATCATCGAAGCGTGCCATCAATATCGGCACAAGTACAATTTTCATTTTGTAGATATTGGCAGTGCTTTAGCTTTTTCTTCCATACGTTTTACATGGTCTTGAAATATTCGTATGTTCTGGTGTGAAGGTGGCAAATTTTTGCGACTAATTCGTAGTGATTCATTTAAATACTGCAGTGCCGTAATGTAATCATTCATATTTTCATATGCAAGTGCCATCCAATAGTAAGTCAAACCGACGTCTTTGTCATCTTTTGGCAGAGTTTTCTGTTGCACTTCCAAAGCTTTTTTGCAGTAGTCCAATGATAGGTCATATTTAGCTTTTTTCGAGTAGATTTTACCCATTAGACGATATAAATTACCACACAAAAAATGATCTTCAGGAACCAATGTTAGAGATATTTTCGCATAGTCCAAAGCTAAATTCAACTCAAGTTTTAATAAATAAACTTCGGCTATGGCAATATACGTTTGTCCAGTGTATAGAGCATCTACGCCAGCTTTTTCTTGTAATTCAAGACATTTGAGGCTATATTGAATTGCTGCATCGTAGTCTTTTAGAAAACGAGCACATTCACCTAGAAGCAAATAGCAATTTTCTTGTTCTAAGGCATCTTCTGATTCGTTGAGTATTTGCTGTAAAAGATTTTTTTGTTTTTCATAACTACCTATGTTTCCTAATAATTTTCCAAGATGGAGAAGTGAAGGTTTTGGTTGCATCAGCTTCTTTTCATGTTCGAATATTTCTTTGAAAGCAAAATCGTCTGAAGAACATAGTTCTAATTTAGCGATCCAGATATTTTGCTCATTGTTAAATTGTACATCTTTTATGCGAAAGATCGTACCCAAAGAAATAAGCACTTCATCTTCATCAGCATACTGACTCAGATGTCGGACGTTAGCAAATGGTCTGGAACTGATAACCTGCGTGTCAATATCAAATTCAAATAAAATACGTTTCAGAGAACCGGATCCAGTTGTGCTAGATTCTGCAAAAAATACGGCTGTTTCTCGTGTTGTCGTTGTAGATAAAAAACTGTTCATTGAAATATACTCTCCAATGCTGTCATTAATTAGTTTTAATTCATTTTCATTGATAGATTGACCTCGATAAACTTGGATGTGGGATTTGTTTAATGCAGCAAGATACTTCTGATGTTCACGAGATAGTTGTTCGTACAAATCAATGATAAAAAATCGAAAAGCAGTAAGAACATCGAAATCATGATTGCGAAGTGCTTGATTAAGAAAGCTATAGAACAATGTGTATTTTGTGTACCACCAAACGGCTCTATCCATGGAGTAATTATGATCAAATTCATCGATTATCCGTAATTGTTCGTCTTTATCACGGTATGTCGTACGAAGAAAATCAAGAAGTTCTTTCTTCGTTCTATCTGGAGCTGGTTTCATATTCAAAATAATTTCAAGGAACAACTGGAAATGAATAAACATAGCGTTTCTTTCTTCTAGTCTGTCGCTATGGCGCATATTGTAAATACTTATTTCAATTGATCTGTCATGCAACCTTTCAAGTATATATTGATCTCTTTTTATTTGATTGACCATTCCTTCCGAATTATAAAAGACCCCTTGGACCTAAAGATGCAAAGGAATCCATTTAAAACTAGGCTATTCATAAAATATTCAATCCGATTTTAGTGACAGCTTACTTTAGAGTACTGATGTTTCCAGTCATCTTTGCTCTCAAGAGTAGTATCGTAGATATACACAGCACAAAGTTGTTTCAGATCATGCACCACTGGAAGTAATTCGTGAATAAACTGATCGGCTATGATCAATATGAATTTTTCATCCATAGCATTTGAAGATGGATTCAGCAGTTGCTCTTTGCAATCTTTCACTTTATCGAGCAATTTCAGCTGATTGTTGACTTCTCGCAATTGTTTCTGCAAAAGAGTTTTTTCGTAACTCTTTGTTATATTCTGATCCAACCATATTATTTGATAACATTCACAGCTTTCAGTCAATCGAAAGCGACATGTTTGATGATTTGTTGAAGCCTCTGTGCGTGTTACCATGTGTCTTTTAGCGAACGTTGAAAAACAAATAAAACGAGTCAAATGCAATATCAAATGGAGATGAGAAGTAGAAACAAACTACCTATTATGCTCCAAAAAACACCTTTTCACTTGTTCTTTCACTTCCTTTATATGATTTTTGTTGCTTTCTTGCTGTTTCGCTATTGATGTAATTTGACCCCAATGGAGAAATAAGAGGAACAAGTTAAAGTTGAGCTACTACTGTCGTGCAATTGGAACATTTGTACCATTAAGCAATCGCGAAAAGGGTGAAAATCTGTTTTCTCCTGCATTTTATTGTCTGATAATTTCAGGTATTTCTTCATAGGTATATTGCTCAATACCCTAGTGTGGGTGTGGGTGGAGTGTGAGCAGAGATAGAGATAAGACCCACACACTCCAGTATTCTCTGGAAGCATCATCTTTCACGGTTGAATCTGATCGAGATTCATGTATTTTGATTTCAAAAGGCAGTTTTCTCAGAATTATCATCACAAACAACGTGGTAAACATGTGACACCCTGGCAATCACTAATGATTCGCTAAGTAATATCTTTCTAGGTCCTTTTTTTCATTTTTTTTTATTCCATCTTATATAACGGACTAAGAGTATCGTATTGGCACTAATATTAAAATAATGCTAATGCCCGAAGAATTAACATAACTTAGCAAGCCTAAAGCTTAAGCATTATTTGTATTAGAATTAATAAATGTCTAGGTGTTAATAGTAGTTTAGTATCATTTTTAGTCCTAATACATACAGTGCCTGTGATTACTTGTGTGCTACTTAGCGACCAAAAAATGCTTTTTGTAAGTTTTTAAGGGCTACCAGAAGGTACTCTCGGTACCTTTTCAAGATAAGGATATGGACATAAAACTTCTCCTTATATCCACATCCTAGTTCGGTGCATTAATGTAGTAAACTTAAATGGAAATCCAAACTCAATATCGAAACACAAACTTACTAAACCAATATGATTTTGTTTTTTCTCATGCTTACCCCAATAATTTCGCTACGATACACTGCTAATGATATGCGAACTTAAGCAAGCGATATAACTGCTGAAGCACAAAATATTTGCTGTTCGACTAAAGCATCGTTTTCTCCTGGTATAAAAGGATGTGGGTGTAGGTATGAATGTTATCTACATCCACCCACACCCACACCCACACCGAGAGTCTCATACCTAATACATTCACAGTCCAGCTATACCTATACCCACACTCTATATTGCTTTTTGTTGTATTAGTAAATATTGCTGTATTTGATCGTATGAATTATTGATGTCAAATAATTGAAATATGTGTTTATTAGAAAAGAACAAAATTTGATATGATGTCCAGATTATTTTGACTTTTTAATTATTTGTACATAAGTTTCAAGAGTATTCTTTATCTTGTTTATTTTATAGTGAAAAAAAAACTTGTTCTTGTAATTTTCATTTTAAATTTCAAAAAAGAAACTAGTTCTTCAATATTTGATGAAACTTGAGTATTATTTCACCGATACTTTGAAGTTCTTCTATAGTTCCTATAACATCTCTATTTTGATATTTTTCGAATAAATTAGTACCCGCTTTGATGAAA